CATGGTTTAGAGTGTGGGTTTTGGGCTTTCGTCGGTGGGCACACGGCTCGTCAGTCAAAGTCCCCAGACCATAGCGTGACTGTGAGAATTTATGAATCTCACAGCAAATTCTCAACCAGCTTTCACATAAACGCAAGAACGACCAAGAGATGCCCCCTTGTTTGGTTGAACCAGTATCATATTTAGGATCCCACAAGTAATAAGGTAGCCTACAACAGGAACCACGATGGAGACTATATGGGTAAAGGCCAGACCTCTAGGTTCATAGGAAAGGTGCAATCCGACAAAGCCCAAAGCGCCGCCACTCCCCACTGAGCTCCGGGGAAATAGCCTGGCTCGAGGCAGGGCGGGGTCTAGGGCAGCAGGACATGAAATTGCTTCACAAGGTGGTGATTAGGTTACGGGGTGCGTGCTTTGGATTTCGATGTTATAGGATAGGTCTTACGATGTGATCACGGCGGTCTCTTTGGAGAGTTGCCTAGGCTGCAATAGCCTGTTGTGACGTCTTGGATCTGGACTTCACAGCTCGTGTATTAATCGAAAGGTTGCTCCCTGCTTCCGGAAAGCATTTTGAAAGACTTAACGCGTTGTCCGGCCGGTGAATGAGGAGAAACCCGGGCACAGATGAAGGGTTTGCGGCTACCGAAGTTTGACTGCTTAAAGCTCTAGTGTCCGCTTTCAGTCATGTCCTTCTGATCAGGGCATTCCGGGACCCTTCAAGAAAAAAACGTACCCTTTGTTTATACAGACTTAAATGAGGAAATCATATTCAGGAGCGGATGTTATTTAGATGGATGGCTGTCAAAATTAGGGTCCCTTTTTGGGGAACCCTACATATTAGGTGCCGCATTACATTAAGCACCCAAAAGGGACCCTAGAGCTCACGTAGGGCATGTCTCTTCTCGGGCCTGGTTCACCCCGACCAGGCTTCAGCTCCATGGCAGGGACGCTGTGGCGATCTTGATGCAAGGGCTGCTTGCCCTCCCCTGCAGACAAGGCTTTGTAAACCATAAACCCTAAACTTTACCCTAAAACCTCATAAACCATAGACCCTAAAACTTACAAACCATAAACCTAAACCCTATGAAAAGCGTGCGGGACGCTCTCTAGAATAGATCCCAAGCCCGAAAATCCCAAAGCCTTAAAGCCCAAAGCTCCTTATGCAGGTGCTTCTTCGTCTCCATTCTCTTCGAACAAAATGCCAACTAGTCTGGGGGCTTTCCAGGGCCTCGGAAATGAGATACCCATGAAGACTTGAAGGCCTGCCTCACAGACAATCCGAATTTAAAGCACCAGAAAAGGACCCAAACACTCAACCGAGAAACATTGCCCCCCGAGCCCCTGGATCTGCGGCGCTAGATAAACCGTAACTTCTCGAGCTTTTCAGGTGGATGGATCCTGGGCCCGATTGTCTTGGGAAACCCTAAACCCTGAAATGGGCCAGGATTTACCATTCAGGGGTGGGGGATCCTTTTGGGTGTGTCTCTAAGCAACAGGATGCAGGTGAGAGGTCATGAGTTCTACACCTGAGAACTTCCCATCCGGCTCATGTAGGAACCTGATTAAGAAACCTTGGGCCTTTATCAGGGTTCCTTATATGAACCCTACTACTATTTTGGGGTTATAGGCCCAGGGTTTTTAAATCAGGTTCCTACATTAGTCACGTCTTGCCCAAGTCTCCTGGACACAGGCGCCGGAACATGCCGATGTGCAGCTGGATGCGCTCCTAGTTCATTGTTGGGATAGGATTAAAATGTACATTTTTTAGTCCTTTATTGGGTTCAAATACCCATAAAAATTTGAAATGTTACCCAACTATGACAAAGGCTCGCAGTAGGGCGCCAGCAGCGCCTCTGCGACGCTGAGCACCGTGGGGTGCGCAGCCAGCTCGCAGATACTCGGGGCCTTGCCGAGGACCTCAGCACAAAAGAGACACTGCCTCAGAGATTTTGCAGAAAGGTTCGGAGCTCAGTTTCGGGTGCCTGTGTGAACACATAGCCTGCACCTCAGTCTAGCTGTGCAAGCTCCGTACGTGTTGGGGATATGTAGAGGTGACCTATACTCTGCGTGAGGTTGGGCTGTGCCCTGTCGAGGTTAGGAGCATGGATGATGGCTTCATGCGGAGGGGCGCTGGCTCCTTGGGCAGAACTTGTGAATAAAAAAGAATCCAGTGTACAGTAGCATCCACCTCTTCCCCCACTAGGGAGATGAAAGAGCTCGCGTATCTACGCTACAGAGCCTGAGGCTTTGTGCAAAGCGAAGGGTGGGATCAAGGCAGAAGGCCCACTGTTTCATCAAGACCTAAAACGCCAACTTAAACATCACTAGGATCCCTAAAGCCCAAACTTTGACCCACAAGTTCAGCTACTCGTGGAAGCTTGGTGTCCAAGTGGCCCCGAGCATGCGCTTTGTACGATTTCCCATGAAGTCCGCATGCTCAGGCAGCATTACCTCAGCTGCACAGGAAGCCATGAGGGCTTACAATATAGGGTTCCGTGTTTAGGGGTCATATGATTAGGGGTACCTGATTTTGGGGTTTTTACAAATAAGGATCCTACTATTTAGGGCACTATATTAGGATCCCCTGTTTTCGGAAACTCCCATATTGTGAAGAGGTGCCCCCGCGAGCTTTCGCGAGCCTGTTGCGGAATGGCCCTGCGTCCTGCGCCTACACCCGTTCAGTCTCCCGCTCTCAGGTTCTGCAAGGTCAGTGGTACTCTGTTTTAGAATTCGGTGCTCGATTCAGATTTCTCTGTTGAGGATGCATGATGTATTAGGTTGTGCGAGGGCCTGATGCAACTCTTGTAGCATTTCCGAACAGCGTGCAGAGTCCCTCAAACCCTAAACCCTGGACCCAGAACCCTGAACCCAAACCCTAAACCTTAAACTCTAAACCCTAAAAGCCTCGAAACTTCGTGGGTTTGGGGCCTAAAACTGTGAACCAAAACCTTCCCAAACACCCGTGAACCCTCAAGCCTACAATGCTGCCTACTTAAAAATGCCAGCACGAAACCACAATCAGCTGTGATCACTTGGGGTATCCAGGCCCTAGACCCTAAACCCTAAACCTGGACCCTACAAGGCACGAAACCCTACAGTACCCTTAAAGGGAACCCTACTTTTTGAGCCCTGTTGTACTCATTAAACGGCTCTAGCTACTACAAAACGCTACAGTACCCTTAAAGGGAACCCTATCTTTGAGCCCTTTCTACTACAAAACCCTAAGCCAAGTCCGAGCTCGGCTGCGCCGGCCCCGTCGGCGGCCACGGCGCGGCCGGCCACGTGGGGCTCGAGCTCCCCGGAGATGCGAGCCATGCGGCTCTCAGGGATCAACTCCTATGCAGGGTACAGGGATTCTTTGGGTTTTAGGGTAGGGTTTAGGGTTTATAGGGGTTTAGGGTTTAGGGTTTGTAGTGTTAAGGGTTTGGGGTTTAGGGTTGTTGCGGCTTGGATGGGGGGTGTGTGGGATTTCTTAGTGCTGCGGGGTAAGGGAGGGTTTGGCGCGCTAGGGCTTCAGGAGTACACTGCAGGGCTCAACTCCTACATTTTTGTTGGTACTTCTTCGGGCTTGGTTAGTTTGGTTTAGGGGTTTATAGTACTTTGAACTCCTCGATGATGGCGCAGCCTTGTGTGCGCAAGGCTTCCATCACATTCTCCGGGGTTGCCGTAGCTGCACTGAACCTCGGCTTGGCATCGGGCTTTGGGATACCCTTCCTACACCCTAAACTTTCGATAAATCCGAAACTTCCCCTAAATCCGAAACTTCCGTAAACCCTCAACTTCCCGAAACTCTGAACTTACCGAAACCCTAAACCCTAAATCTTTACAGAACTGGAACGTTCACACACGTCTGCATGTGAGATAAAACTCGCAAGACTTCCGAGAAGCTTCAGACTTTGATCTCGCTTGGAGGGTCGGGGGACTTAGTAAGTAGGTAGTAAGTAGACTTCTAAGTACCCTAAAAGGGACCCTAATCGGGGTTACGGTACTTACAAGTCCTTAAAATAACCAGTAACTAAGTCCCCCGACCCTCCTAGCGACTTGCCGAGGAAAGAGAGCGCATCGACACTTCCGAATCCCCTAATTTCATCGACAACTCAAGGAGCGACAATCTCTGAACTCAGGACTTCTCTTTCTGAAAACTGCCCTTTGCCTTGGGTTCTTTCCCGTCGGCCCGGTCCTACTTCTCACATCATTGCACCAAAGCAGCCTGGGAATCGTCATGCTTCCGATGCCCGCCATGGCCCAGAGCGAGGGCCCAGTGGAAGAGGTCAGGGCTTCCAGAAAAACTGAATGAGCCTTCAGAAACCCTTGTAGATCCATGAAACCTACAAGGGTAAAATACCACATAGGCATATAGGTGTTCGCCCTAAAGCCAGCACATCAATAAGCTCGGCAAAAGTCAGAGGGCCCTAAGGCTCGAAGGAATCCTTCAAGCGTAATATAAGGGCCTTAAGAATTAGAGTAGGGTTTGGGGGCGCAGCATACTATAATTATACTAGGGAACCCCCCAAAATAGTAGTGGTCACTCTTTGAGCCCCTGTAGTAGCATTTCCGGAAGCCCCGAGGACGGGCGAAGCATCGGCTGGATCTCAAGCCAAAGCTTCCGCCATTCGTTGACCTTAAGCACCACATGACCCTTGAGCCTCAAGAGTAAACCTATACCCCCCGTACGGTTTCTTTTATGAACCTTAAACCCTTTCAGGGTTCGTCTACTTGGGAAAGAGGGAGCAAAGCTTCGTTGGTTTCGGCTTTGGGGCTCGGCGTTTAAACAACGAGAGCGACCCTTAAAGCACCCTCAACCTAAAATTCCCAGACCCTGCACTTCTAAAGCGTGTCACCCCCTTGAAGTCTTTGCTGCAATCCCAAAGGAGACACTGTTGCTTTTTGAACCCGCTTCAGGGTTGATAGGGTATCGAGGCAATAGGGCTTAGGGTTTAAGATTTAGGGTACTTCCCCACCCGATTGAGCCGCTAACACCCCGAAGCGAGTCTCCATGCCTCTCGACGGCGCCGGGACGAGCGAGTGCTTGCTGCACCTGCTTCCGAAGTACTCAAAGCCTGAAGAATCGTGTTCAATCCGCAGAACCTGAATTCATGTACATTCTGTCTTGCAAACCGTGACAATTAACCGAAAGCAAAGCGCAGCCAAAACCAAAGACCGGGTTGACTGCGAAGGCTGGGCATGCAGTTACCGCAAGGTTGGCGCTAAGGTTGGAGGTCAGGAGGAAGCTCAGGGATGTAAACCCTAAACCCCAAACCCCTACACCCTCACACACGCCTTCTTTGCTCCGACGAGCTGGTAGTCCACAGAGGGGCACTTGATCGCCATGGACCTCATCATCACAGTTTCGCAGTTTTCATGGCAAGTGCTGATTCACTGTCAGCTAATTGTCAATAGCTACCATCCTAAATCTTACACTCCGAAGCCCCTTTGGCAGAAACATTCGGCAAGTTGATGACCTCCACATTGACAGCCTGCTCCTACTGTTTACATACAAGCAGCAGTCCCACAAACACTTGCACGATCTTCCAGGCGTATAGGAGCCCATGCCATCATACTACTTGACAAAGAGAAAACTAAGGCAGCTATGATGTAAGTGCTACATACCTAGCCATGCCTGGTTACTGGCCCGTCGTTAGATTACTATCATTACTATCATCCTAGACCCAAGCGTTTAAGACTCCATGCTTTTTAGCAGCCCTTGTCAGACCCCTCTAGAACCGGGTACAGAACCCTCTTAGAAAACTTGGAAAGGCCGCAGAGAGGCATCGACTGAGCCTCTGACTGCTCTAGGACTTTGCGCGCAGCCCACTCTGACTCGCTCGGGTAATCATCCGGGCTGTAGCCTGCCCGGTAGTAGACCACGGAGACCTGTACGATGACTTGGGCTGTACTTAGTGGATCATGGGACTTCGTAACCAGGGGTATAAATAAAGTAAGCGACTTAGTAACTAAGGATATAAGCGAAGTAAGTATAGATATAGTTAACTCCAATTAAGGTACTTATAATATATGATCCTCCAATATCCTCCAAGTAGGGCTTCCAGGCTTACGTGTTTAAGCAATAGAGCACGGAGACCTGGGAAATATGATTGGGCTTGCAGGGTTCAGGGCTTTGGGGTTCAGGTTTAATTAGGCGTCGAATAGGGCCTTCAGGTAGGCAATAGTAGTAGTACAAGTATATAATGAGGAAGTGATTGTTTGTACTGTCATCTTTTCAGACTTCTACATCAGGGCTTTGGTGGCCGAAAATACATCTTTACGAAAACTGCTGATTTTTTAGACATATACATACATTCATTCAGTCATACTTACCTACATAACATACCATACCATACCCATATGGGTCCCTCAGGGTTCACATTAGAGGCCTATACATCTAACCGCTTCTCTCACCTAAACCCTCAACCCTAAGTAATAAGTAGCCCTAGACCGAAAACCCGAAACCCTCGATCCCTAAACCCTGAATCCCCCTTCGAAATGACTGAACTCTAATCCCTAAACCCTGTGAACCTTATACCCTGAACCCCAACGCCCTAATTCCCTGTAGAAATCCCGGGAGATCCACCAAAACCTTAAACCCCAGACCCTAAACCCTGAACCCCTCCGACGAAATCCCTAGAGACCTACTATATATTCTTTTCCGCTAAGCCCCAAACCCTAAACCCTGAACCCTGGACCCCTTTCCCCGAAACCCCTAAACCCGTAAACCCTAAGCCCTGAACTCTAGAACGCTAGAACCCCAAACCCAAAGCCCTGAACCCTAGAATCCCCAAACCGTCCACCTCCCCCTCGGGAACTAGTAGGCCGCCCTTGGAGTCCAAGGTGGCCTCATCGGAGGACCCAAAGGGTCCTGGGTATTGTTGTGGGGGTTTAGGGTTTAGGGTTTAGGGGTTTAGGGGTTAGGGTTTAGGGGTTTAGGGGTTATGGGTTTAGGGGTTTAGGGTTTAGGGTTTAGGGGTTTGGGGGTTAGGGGTTTAGGGTTTAGGGGTTTAAGGGTTAGGGTTTAGGGGTTTAGGGGTTATGGGTTTAGGGGTTTAGGGTTTAGGGTTTAGGGGTTTAGGGGTTAGGGGTTTAGGGGTTTAGGGTTTAGGGTTTAGGGGTTTAGGGGTTAGGGGTTTAGGGGTTTAGGGTTTAGGGGTTCAGCAACTCTGGTCGAGCAAATTTCAAGTCAAGTTGGTTTTAAGAAGAAATCCCACCCACCCAAAGGTTCCCCCCACATTGAGAAGAAACCCTTTCTTCTTTTATATTCGGGGAACATTGATTTTACATACTTAAACTATACATACATGAAATCGAATACTAAGCAACACTGCACCGATTCGGTTGTTCATTCAAACATATTTACTCGGATAAGACTAAGACAGTCTTATGATGAAAACTATATATACACATGAAATCGAATACCAAGCAACACTGCACCGAGTCGCACAAACAAGTTTACTCACACAAGAGCAGTCCTATGATAGATCGAATGCCAACATTTCCAAGAAGCAATTCTGGAGATGACATCGTGTAAAGGCGACCAACCCCAAATTGAAAGGCGACGACCCAATTTGAAAGGCAACCAAAGGCGACAAAATCCAATGAACGAACCGATCGCAAATTGAAAGGCAACCAAAGGCGACAACATCCAAATTGAAAGGCGACCGACCCAAATTGAAAGGCGAGGAACCGTCCCACAGCGAGTTATGGACAAGAGCCACCAGTTATGGACAAGAGCCACGAGTTATGGACAAGAGCCACGAGTTATGGACAAGAGCCACGAGTTATGGACAAGAGCCACGTTATGGACAAGAGCCACGAGTTATGGACAAGAGCCACGAGTTATGGACAAGAGCCACGAGTTATGGACAAGAGCCACGAGTTATGGACAAGAGCCACGAGTTATGGACAAGAGCCACGAGTTATGGACAAGAGCCACGAGTTATGGACAAGAGCCACGAGTTATGGACAAGAGCCACGAGTTATGGACAAGAGCCACCAGTTATGGACAAGAGCCACGAGTTATGGACAAGAGCCACGAGTTATGGACAAGAGCCACGAGTTATGGACAAGAGCCACGAGTTATGGACAAGAGCCACGAGTTATGGACAAGAGCCACGAAGACTATAGGGTTTAAATTATAATAGGTAGAGAGGTTTAGGGGTTAGGGTTTCGGGGTTTAGGGGTTAGGGGTCTAGGGGTTTAGGGTTTAGGGGTTTAGGGGTTAGGGTTTAGGGGTTTAGGGTTTAGGGTTTAGGGGTTTAGGGCTTAGGGGTTTAAGGGTTTAGGGTTTAGGGTTTAGGGGTTTAGGGGTTAGGGGTTAGGGTTTAGGGGTTTAGGGGTTAGGGGTTTAGGGGTTTAGGGTTTAGGGTTTAGGGGTGTGTCGATTCTCCGCTCACACCACCACGCGAGACGTGTGTTGTGGTGTGCGCCTGGGTTCAACGCTCTCGCCCTACCCGCCCACCCAGTCTATGACCTTTGTCGGGTTTAGGGTTTTTGTTCAAGGTTTGTGGCTTGGTCTGGCGGTGTCCCAAAATCAGGGCAAGCAGGGCAGAGGCGGGGCAGGGCAGGGCAGGGCAGGGCAGTGCAGGGCAGGGGCAGGGCAGAGCAGGCAGGTCAGGGCAGGGGGCAGAGCACGGCACATCGTCTGCACCTGGCTTTTCCATGACTTGGCAAGTGGCTGGCTCCGGCTTTCCGCTCGTCTGGCTTAAGGTATTGAGCGTCACATGACGCGAGGCTCTGTCAAGTACAGGAGCCTAAGCCTGTGCCGCATGAGAGGCGGGCCATATATCTTCGGTCAATAGCGTACTCTGAGTTCTAAAGTAAAACGGTGTGATCAAAATGGTTAATACAGTCTACATACTTCGCGCTAGGCTCTCGATTTTGCACTTGTTCATGGGCCCGTCCGCGCCGCTTTGAGCGGCGGGGTCTCGTGGGAGGCTTCAGTGTGCCGCGCCACGAGGTCGCGCAAGTATGCGCGACCCCGGTTGCAATCTTGAAGATCGCTTTCTGCCGGAGCCGCTGTGACCATATCTATTCTTCCTTTTGGCTCCGTAGCTTTTGGCTCTGTAGAGCTTATCGCTGAGACTCCTCCTTTCGCTCCGGCTTCGTGCTCTTGGATCGCCTGCCCCCCTGAATTTCGGCGCTGCACAGAGCTCCGAAAAGCGCAACACTGACGCTCCTTCCCTTGGCGCCTTCCCCAAGGCATAGACCCTTCTGCCAGCCTGAACCCTAAACTCTGCATGAACTATTATAAACTTGAGGCAGCCCCTGGCAATGGGCAGCCCAAAGCCTCCCAGGCGGTTGGGCTTGCCAACTTTGCCAGCTACTGCGCAGAGCCGCAGAGCAGGCCCTGCGTGACGACAGCTCCTGCAGTTCTTTTGGGCGCCGTTATGGTTTTAAGTAACTTCGCAAGACGCAAAGCTAAGCATCACGCTTGGTGCTGTCAAACACAAACCCACCAAATCGAACAAGAACATGTCACATGTCGTCACGTAATGCTTGCCTCCCTGATCATCCGAAACGACACATCATGCCCATGCGCCAGCTCGACGTTTTCTGCATTGCGTCAAAATCCAGCCTTGCGGCACTGCGGTCAAAAATGAAGCCATCACAGGAGGCAGCCAGTGAAACTAGTCCACCAAGAAATCGTGGAAGGTCACGGGGACCTGCTCCATTAAACTGTCCAGGAGCGGGGTCTCTGTAATGTGGCGCGGGAGCCACTGGTTCTGGATGTCCTCTTGGGTGAACACCCCGCCTGCCTCAATGATGTCCAGGGCCGTGTCCGAAATGTGTTCCTTGTAAGCGCTTTAAGACTGGAAGGCTAAGCTGTTGCGCATTCCTAGCACAAGTCTTGCAAGGAACAGTCATTACAACCGATAGTTTGGCCAATAGCAAGTGATAGTTTGTTTTTTTCGGTACTTGATCATGTAGTCCTCTACAAAAATGAAGATTGTACACTCTTACTTGGTACCCAGTAAGAGTGGAACACCACCGAGAAGCTCAAAACCTCGATTTCCAATCTATCTCTCTCATTGCTTTCACACATGTAGTCCTCAGATATGTGTGCATAAGATTTTACATTCTTACTTGGTACCAAGTAAGAATGGGAAATCGTAAATCTTAGGTTCGGCCTGCTTCTGGTCATTATTGCCACTGTGTTTTGGAAGAATCGTTGGCAAATTTCATAGGTGGTTGAAAGAAACCAAGAGCCTGATGCCCAGAGTTTTTTGGGCCTGTGAGAGAACATGCTGACAAGCTAATATATATATATATATATATATATATATATTAATACACATACTACATGCATGCACACACACCTGGCACATGGGTGGGTGTGG